GTAGCTCCCCTCTAGATTGTAAGAGATAAATGAAACAATCGATACAAGCAGTTGATAATAACAGTCAGTGACAGTCGAATTGTTCATATTTGGCTGGCCAGTGAACTCGTCGACCAGCTCTGGTGGCTCGTTGCGGAGGAGATGGCGTCTCTGGCAATGGGGGTTGTGCAACCGGCAAAACAGTTCTCGCGGGGGCGTTCTCGCGAATCTGTCGGGAAGACGACGTTTCTGTGGCTGGGGGGTGTGATTCTGGCAAAACAGTCCTTGCTGGCGTGCTCTCGCGAATCTGTTGGGAATGCGCGTTTGTCCAGTCGTCATCAAGATACGCCACTTTCAGACGATCCTTGGCAACCGCATCCCGTCGGCCGTTGAGGTCCAAAACAAAGTATTTGCTGGCGCGCTTGATGATGCGAAATGGTCCATCATACGGAGGTTGTAGGGGTGTTTTCACTGCATCATGACGAACAAAAACGTGTGTGCACTTGTCTAGGTCAGCTGGAATGTGTGATTGTCGCTGTTGTGGCCTGGGCGGAGTGGGACGAATGTCCTGCATGTGACAACGCAGCCTGTGAACATACACACTGGGGTCGAGCTCAGCATGATCATTGTTAGGCACAATAAACTCACCAGGAAGCCTGACTGTGGTACGTACACCATTTCTGCTGGAGAGAAACCGATATCTGACTTGATAGCGGCTCTGATGCCTAACAGGACGAGGGGAAGAGATTCCGTCCAACGTGGGTTAGCATGAGTCTTTAGCGATGCCTTGAGTTGTCTGTGTAGTCGCTCTACCATCCCATTTGCAGCAGGATGATATGATGTAGTGTGAATTCGTTGACAACCGAGCATGTCAGTGAGCATTCGAAAAAGTCGTGACTCGAACTGGCGTCCTCTGTCGGTGGTGATGGTAGCTGGTGCACCGAACCGAGAAACCCAGTGGGTAACGAATGCATGGGCCACAGTCTCAGCAGTCATGTCAGGAATGGGGATCGCCTCCGGCCAACGTGTAAATCTATCCACACACGTAAGCAGGTAGGACTGTCCGGCTGATGGTGGAAGGGGACCGACTAAATCGATGTGTACGTGTGAGAATCGTGCGTCGGGTGTGGAGAACGTACCAAGTGGCGACTTGATGTGGCGATGAATTTTGCATTGTTGGCACTTGCGACAAGTCTTAGCCCAAGCGCGAACGTCTTTGTTAATACCAGGCCACACGAACCGTGCAGTAAGTAACTGCTGTGTGGTCCTGATACTAGGGTGCGACAGTCCATGCAAAGCGTCAAAAACTGTTCGACGAAACTGGGCTGGGATGAAGGGTCGAGGCGTCCCTGTGGAGGTATCGCATAGAATGGTACCCTGCGATGTCTGGAGGGGGACGGCAGTTAGCTGGAGAGAGGTGTCGGGGAGATGTTTCAACTCGTCGTCATCGATCTGTGCTTTAGCGATGGCGTCGAAATTGATAGTCACGTTCGTTGGTAAGGCATTAACCTCCAGACGAGAGAGTGCATCTGCCGCTGCATTATCATGGCCGCTGATGTGTCTAATGTCCGAGGTATACTGGGATATGAGGTCAAGTTGTCGAATCTCTCGAGGAGAATGGCGGTCTAGTTTGGAGTGTAGGGCGTACGTAAGGGGCTTGTGATCAGTGTAAGCGCGGAATGTCCGTCCCTCCAGCATGTGTCGGAAATACTTGATGCCGAGGTATAGAGCTAAAAGCTCTCTACCAAAAGTACTGTAGCGGGTTTCCGCTGGTTGGAGGCGCTTGGAGAAAAACGACAGTGGTTGCCAAACACCCTTGACGTGTTGCTGGAGAACACCGCCCACGGCCTTGTCCGATGCGTCGACTAAGAGGCATAACGGTGCGTCAGTCTGTGGGTGGACTAGGAGTGTTGCGTCGGCCAATGCAGCTTTCACACGCTCGAAAGCTAGCTGCTCGTTCGGCCCTAACTGAATCGGCTCGTTTTTCTTCCTCCTGTTCTTGAGCAGGTCGGTCAGGGGCTGGAGAATGTCTGCACAGTGGGGAACAAAACGCCTGTAGAAATTGATGAGGCCAAGAAATTCCCGCAACTTACTCAACGATGCCGGTTCCGGGAAATCTCTGATGACTTGCACCTTGTCAGGCAAAGGACAGACTCCATGCTGGTTGACGAGATGACCGAGGAAGGAGAGGGATGGCACGCCGAACTGGCATTTGTGGGGGTTTATGACTATGCCATATTGCGAGAGGCGGTCGAACAGGAGTCGAAGGTGTTCTTTGTGTTCAGCCTCTGATGAGCTCGCTACCAGCAGATCGTCAATGTAGGCGAAGACAAATGGTAAACCACGGGTTACCTCGTCGACGAACCTTTGGAAAGTCTGTGCCGCATTACGGAGCCCAAAGGGCATGCGCACAAACTCGAATAATCCAAACGGTGTAGTGATGGCAGTCTTACGGATGTCTGTTGGTTCCACTGGTATTTGATGGTAGGCGCGTACCAAATCAATCTTGGAGAACAGCGTGCACCCGTGAAGGTTGGAGGAAAAATCCTGCAGGTGTGGAATTGGGTAGCAGTCCGGAATGGTGTTCTTATTGAGGGCGCGGTAATCACCACACGGACGCCAATCCCCGGGAGTTGACTTAGGTACCATGTGCAACGGAGAGGACCATTCGCTACTGGAAGGGCGAACAATTCCAAGGCTAAGCATATGGTCAAACTCAGCCTTGGCAAGTGGTAGTCTGTCAGGGGCAAGTCGACGGGGTCTAGCCGCAACCGGGGGGCCATGAGTTTCGATGTGGTGCGTGATGTTGTGCCGTACCTCCGTTTGCTTATACACAGGACGCACTACATCGGGATACCGGCTAAGGAGCTCGTCGTATTGTGATGAAGCTGCATTCACAAACATGGGGCTCGCGGACGGGGTACCAGACATTATTCCTTGTATGACAAGACTAGTTATGGAATCGACAAGTCGCTGGTTCTTTACATCGACTAGTAGGTTGAACTGCCGAAGAAAATCAGCTCCAATAATAGGGGTTGGCAAGTCGGCAACAATAAAAACCCAACGGAATACTCGGCGAAGTCCCAAATCTAAAGTCAGAGACTTCTCGCCGTAAGTTACAATAGGTGAGTGATTGACCGCTTGTAGCTGTATAGAAGTAGGTTGAGCTCGTGACTTGTGACTGCGTGGCAAAACACTCACCTCAGCGCCGGTGTCAACTAGGAAACGAGTGCCTGTGGCCTTGTCAGTTACATGGAAGAGGCGACTTGTTGTATCGCTGCCAGACCGACCTGTCGCCGCTAGTCGTTGGCTTGGCCGTTTTCCTGGTTCCGTTGTGGTTCTGTGCGTCGGGAACAAGGACTGGTGCATTTTCGTGCATTAGTTCCGTACTTCCAATGATACCAGCATTGGCGGTCGCCGGATGGCTGGTTATCGGCAGAAGGGGTTGGACTACGTTGTCTGGGTCGACTGCGGGAGGAAGAGCGGGGACGGCCTTGTCGCTGCATGCCCTGTAGCTGAAAAGTCAAGGCCTGCACTTGCCGAGTCAGGTCATCAACCTTTGCGTGCAGAGTGAGTACCTCAGGGGAGGCGTGTCGTTGCGGGGGGTGGAGGGGTGGTGAAGAAACCGTGGAAATTTGCGATGCCGGCGTAGAGTGGGCAGACACCTCAACAATTTTGTCAGCCAAATCTGCCAGTGCTCCAATTCCCACAGTGTCCGCTGTGGGGGCCAAAATGGACTGGACGGTGTGGGGAAGTCGCTGTACAAACAACTGTTTCAAAATCCTCTCCTCCAGCTTGTTGTCCCCCAAAAGCTGGTGCATGCGCCGCAACAACTGCGAGGGCTTGCGATCTCCCAATTCCTCTGAAGTAAGCAGCTGGTGTAATCGTTTCTGCTCAGAAACTGAAGTGCGGCGAATGAGTTCAGATTTCAGCTTATCGTAGCAGTCCGTGGATGGGGGTGTAATCAGGATATCCCGCACCTCTTGTGCGACCTCCGGTTGCAAAGATCCGATAACGTAGGCAAAACGAGTCTCCTGGGTAGTGATATGGCGGATGACAAACTGAGCCTCCACCTGGGTAAACCACAGGGTTGGGTCATTAGGCCAAAATGGAGGGAGTTTGAGGCTTACTGCAGCTTGCATCGGCATGACAGGCGGTTGAAATGGGTTAGAGGGAGGTGGAGTTGGAGGCGGTGTACCCTCTGTCCCATCAGGTTTAACTTCCACAGACATGGCTTGTGCAGAAGGTCACAATTGTTCAAAACAGGGTCACCAGTGTAGTAATTCGTGTTTTCTCCCGAAATGAGTTCTACTACTGTTTATCAAGCCTCGTGTCTGTTCTTACAAGTTGTGAAAACGGCACACAAAATGTTGGTTGTTTACAAGTTTTAATGCCTTCAAAACTCACAAGTTCGTCATGCAACTGCTATCCAATGATTAACAAAGTTCTGGAAAGTCAGTAGGTATAAGCACACATCAATTGACTGAATAAAACTTGGTTGAGGAAACTTTCAACGTTGGAATAAGACTTGCACAAAGCAGAATGAAAACGATAAGTGAAAGGTCACCAACCTGTCACACTGCGCAAACGCAGCACAGCGAGAGTGAACTCCGGTGCCAATGGCAACCAAAACTTATTAACATACTTATTTGTATGGAACGCCTGTTGGAGCTAAAAGAACAAACACTTAATTATATACACATGTACATGTCACTACAGTTCTATATCAGTGGTCATTTCATAAAACAGGGCCTTGGCCTTGGCCTTGGCCTTGAGGGTTAAGCCTTGGCCTTGGCCTCGAGGCTTGAGGGTCAAAGCCTTGGCCTTGGCCTTGGCCTTGGCCTTGAGGGTCAAAGCCTTGGCCTTGGCCTTGGCCTTGAGGGTCAAAGCCTTTGCTCCAACACTGACACCGAGTATACAGTGTTTATACGTCGGTGAAGGACAAAACCTAATATTGATATAGTTAATTAAAGCAAACTCCCTGAGAAGTAAATGAAACAGAATTTAAGGGATGCACTTACCCGGATCACCGATATGCACAGGTGCGCCGTGGTATTTGGTCAAAGGGAGGGTCACTTTGAAGGCCTTCTCCACCAGATCACGTGGGATTGGTCTCATAGACATGTCCATCTGGCATTTGAATGGCCCGACAGGATGGCACTTTACACTGGTCTAATAGATGCAATAAAACAACAATGAGCAAGTTCAGGCAGGAACTATGGTAATCAGATCTGAATATTTTTGCTCAAACCGTCGCCTGTCAACTATGGGTTCCATGCATAAGTACTCCCTCAACGGTAAGAAAGAGAGAGTTGGGGGAGACCACTGGGAGAGACATTCAAACGCATTGCTGAAGACGTCCGACGCTCATGCGAAGACGCCATGGGTTTGTGTGCATTCAGAATAAAATTAGACGCGCTACGGTACTTCTTGCGATTCGCGCACAAACCAGTGTCGAAAAGTGGCCTCTCTTGTTCTAGCATATCACATGTAGTTGGACTAGTCTAGTCGACTAATCGGGGCCGGCTTGCCAAGGTCAGTAGCATGGCTGGTTACAACAGCCGCTTGTACCATATTGTACAGCAGGGAGTCAATTAGACCGGAAGTTTTCATAATGAGGTACTGCCTATCATTTGACTTCAGACGTTGGCATATTGCTATAAGTATACAAATACGTCAAGAATCAACTACATTGTAGTAATTGACCGATGATCTCCAATTGTGCAATTATTCTTGCAAACCAGTCTCGAGATATTTACAGATTGCTTTTAATGGATGAAATGATTATGTTCATAGTTTAGCTCTAGATTGTAAAGACAACCCCAAGCGTTTTTGGTCTTTTGTAAACGGTAAGAGGAAGCACCAATCAAATACAACTTTTAATTGCAACAACCAAACCTTCTGTGATCCAAGTGCAATTGCTAATGCTTTCAATGTGAATTTCCAAAGTAACTTTTCTCCACAGCAATCTTCCTACCATCTTCCAGACTTCGAATCCTGTGCTGCCCATCCTGGTATTAGCCCTCTCCATAATTTTCATGTTTCTCAAGCAGATGTTATGAAGGCCATCGATAAACTTAATCCATCCAAACCCCCCGGCTTGGATGGCATATCTCCAAAAATTCTGAAACTAGCCAGCACTTCAATCGTTCCAACATTAACTGACATATTTAATCTTAGTCTTTCAACAAGTGTAGTTCCCCAAACCTGGAAACAGGCAAATGTTGTTCCTTTGTTTAAACATGGTGACAAATCTCACATTGTTAATTATAGACCTATTTCCCTTACTTCAGTTCCATGTAAAATGCTTGAAGGTTTTATAAGCAAGAAACTACTTGACCATTCTTCTCAGCATCATATCATCCCCGACTCCCAACATGGATTTCAACCCAGACGTTCCTGTACTACTCAGTTAACCACCCTCTTTGACACCTGGTCCCGAGCTCTTGATGTTTCCAATCCTCCTCGAATTGATGCAATCTTTCTTGACTGGTCTAAAGCCTTCGACAAGTGCGACCATTCAATCCTCCTTCATAAGTTACACCAATATGGAATTTGCGGTAACACACTTTCATGGATCAGTAATTTTCTTTCCAACAGAGAACAGCGAGTCATCTTTTCGGGCGCTAGATCTGACTGGATACCAGTAACTTCAGGAGTTCCCCAAGGCTCAGTCCTTGGTCCTATATTATTTAATTTCTTCACAGCTGACTTACCAAACCATGTTCAATCTTCTCTTCCTCAATATGCTGATGACACCGTTTTGTACAGGATTATTAGAAGTAATGATGACAGTGCCATTGTGCAGAATGACCTCAACTCTATTTCCAGATGGTGTTCTGATAATCAGATGCAACTGAACTCCACCAAGTGCAAAGTTATGCATGTCACCCGCTCCAGAAAGCAATTGCTAACCCCTTACTTTTTTGCAGATTCCGATGAACCTCTTGATGTTGTCACGTCTTATAAATATCTTGGTGTTATCCTTTCGAACGACCTAACCTGGACCAAACATGTAAATTCTGTTCGTGCCAAGTGTTCTAGACTTGCTGGCTTCATACGGCGCACTGTAAAATCAAAAAATGCTGAAGTTCTTCTCAAATTATATCGTTCACTCTGCAGGCCCATCTTGGAATACGCCGCGCCGGTTTGGCTACCTCACCAGAAGAACCACATCCAATGCCTTGAGGCAATTCAACGTCGCTTCACTAAATCTTGCTTCCATTACAATGTTGCTATTTCTCTTTCCTATGAACAACGCCTGTCCAAACTTCACTTGCCTCCCCTCTACAACAGACTTGTATACCTCAGTGCTTCCTTTGTCATTAAATGTCTCTACAATCAAATTTCTGTTCCTTCACATTCTCTTCCACAGGTCAACACTAGGAAAACCCACACCCTCCTCTTCAAACATCAGTACAGCCGGACAAACTGCGTCAAATTTTCTTTGTTCACCCTCTTTCCCAGGTTTTTTAATTCACTTTCCACCGATGTCCGAGACCTTTGCCTAGAACGTTCCTCCAAACCTCTCATCAATTCTTTACGTGATCATCTGTTCAGTCTAGACCCCATCTCTCATGCATTGTAGAGCTTTCCTCCCCAGATATTTTTATCCTGACTTCATGTTTTCACAAATCAAGTTTCTCCGGCTCAACAGACTCCCTTTCACTGCATATTATTATTAAATATTATTATAATAATGATTTGGACATAGCATGTATGCCAGCTTTTATTTTATTTATTTGTTTATTTTATTTAATTTAATCTTATTTTATTTTATTTCATTTCATTTTATTTCATTTTACATGTATTTTTATTTTATTTTATTTTATTTTATTCTATTTATTTTTTTCATTTCATTTTATTTTATTTCATTTATATTTATATTCTATATAATTTATTTATATATTTATTTATTTATTTATTTATTTACTTATTTACTTATTTATTTATTTATTTATTTATTTATTTATTTATTTATTTATTTATTTATTTATTTATTTATTTATTTATTTATTTATTTATTTATTTATTTATTTACTCTTATTTTAATTTGTAATTGTATTTTTAATTATATTTTGCATAACTGCTTAATTTTTATAAATATTTTATTTAATGAATTTTATCCTAAATGTATTAATCACTGTTATCCAATTAGTTTGGAGAGCCCCTCGACAGAAACTTGTTTCTTTTGGGTAATCCTGCGGGAGCTTTTTGGGTGTTGTTTTCTGTTATGTTTTCTGTTATGTTTACTACTCAGTGTTATTTGTATATGTAATTGTTTTGTCTATGATTCACTGTTTGTAATATCCCGGAAAATGAAATAAATAAATAAATAAATAAATAAACTCGGCACACACGTAGCGAGATTTAATCTGAACACATTCACAGAATTCACAGAAAGTGTATTTTTTAAATTATTGAATTTCCAAGTTAGCACACTTTTACCGCAGCAAGCTGTACTAATTTTCCATGTATGGTAAATGGGGAAATGCGATTTCCATGGTGACCAGCCACAAATAATGTCGCACAGCACGGTTGCCCTAAAGTCAATTTCCATAAATTTGGTACCAAACGTGCATTGCACTTGAAGCTAGAAAGTCATGAAAGCTTACAAGGAGAAACGCGCGTTTGGTGAAAATATTGCTAGAAAAGTACAGGGAATAATCCCCCCCCCCCCCCCCCCCGCCGTTTTAGGGTTAAAGACCCTTTTAATGCTCCAAAACACTCAATCCTTACCGTGAATACACTGATACGGGTATTGTGTTCCAGATTTCTCAGGGGCACGCCTGCAGCCAGAAAAGATTGGTCAAAGGTGAAGCTGCAACCTTGATAGAAGAAGACATAGTCCCGAAGGAACTCCTTGAAACCCATGATGTTCTTGACGGTGTGGGTTACTTCCCCATTTTCAATGATGTTGTACGCTGGCAGATCTGTTCTGTATAGATTAGGAAGACATCAACTACAATAAACACTACGTTTAAGACCAGTTAGGAGTCTGGACGCTGATATTAGCCCAAGCCAGGTCGGGTCATTATCAGCATCCAGACTCCAAACCAGTCTTAAAAATTGCGTTTAAAACCAGCCAAGCACATATTTTTTTCCATTCATAAATACCTTTACTGTCAAACAGTCAAAACAAGTCAAAAATTAATTGTAAGTGTGAATTATGAAATAGGGACTCATTGGTAGTATTGCGCATGCCTAACCGAGGATTGTGAACATTCAACCAATTAAAGGCAAAAAGGGACCGGATTTCATAGGAGTCCAAATTTCATGTGACACTGGGAAAGTGCATAAGACCAGCCAGCCGGTGTTTTATCAACTGGTTAAGACTGGCCATATCATGGGCTCTCGACAAATAGGAATGGGTAAAAACTGTTTTAGATAATCAAATGAATATCTGATTAATCTGATCAAGTTATGAACTTAACACAGCAACGATTACGAAAACCGGCTATTTCGGAAATCTCTATATATCCACAATTAAGAAAGATTTAGGACATCTTTAATCACCTGACATCGGAATCCGTTTGAGTTAGACCTGGAGCAGTGAACTGGCCGACCTCGGATTGAAATAGGACAGGCAGGGGACCCGAGTTGGCAGCACAGAACTTGGCAAAGTCCTCCGCCAGTGACTTGTCCAGTGCTAGCAAATTGGTCTGTACTCGACCTGAAATTGACAGGTGGTGAAAATTGAACAAAGTAACAATTGTCGACTTTAACTTCTTTCATTTAACCCTCCTACTGTTTGAACAGTCACAGACAGTCAAAAATTCTACCCACTTCCCCTACCAACAGTCAGCTCATATTTCAAGAAAGCACTTTGACAAGCCAAATTCATCAAAGGTTTTGCCCTTCACCGACGTATAAACACTGTATACTCAGTGTGTTACCTCCTGAATATAGTTGGAAAAATCACTCGGGTGGAACTCGAACCCACGACCTCCTGCTTTCTAGTGCAGGTGTCTTACCACTCGACCACCGAGCTAACAGGATCGGTTGGCTGGTTCGAATTTGATGCACATAGCAGCGGGTGCCGCATTAACTATTCATAAGGTACCGCATTAACTGTTCATAAGTCAAATTCAGTCAACACACAAAAACCCTACCCCTTAAACGTCTAGTTAGGTATCTTGTAATTTTCAGGGGAAATTTGGAGTGTTTGGCCGATATGGCTGCAGGATTTTCCTCAAGGTCAATGGTCACGAACCATTGAACATTTGATTTACAATAGTGTACCACCTCCAGTGGACCATCAAAAGGAACAAATAGCAGCGACATAATTCACAACCATAAGACTGACCTTGGCACATTCCTGAGGTACTCTCCTTGAAGAATTTTCCTGATCGAAAGAGTTTCCGGGCTACTTCAGGCTCAGCCTGGGCAAGATCTTCTCTGCTAGGGACCGGCATGTCTAATCTGTTACATGGGGTAAAAAATCACTTGAAATGGGTGCTAAAGAATTTAGATCTTTCATTTTCAAATGTCAGTGCAGGTCCTGATCCAGATCCAGAAATCACATGAGCTTTGGCAACCAGATACATGTATTTCAAGTAGGGCTGTCCTATTTCGAAAAATTGAGTATTTGATTATTCGAAACTGCTTGACTGAATATTCGAATATTCGAAACTCGCCGATCAACTTTAAACACGCCAGATGCATCTGCATGCCCTACCCTTCAGAAGTTCAGTGATCGGTGATGCGCCGCTGAAATATTTTGCAGTAATTATTTTATAACTGTCACTCTAGCCTGTGATGAAAGGATGAGAACAGTGAACAGCTGTCTACAAAAAAAGTTGCTGTCGCAGTCAACAAACAGTGGCATCTGACAATTAAAACATCCCAACTTTACGATTAAAACAACATCACAATATTCGAACAGGTAAAAAGCTATTGGAATGTTCGGTTGATGATCTATTATTCAAATATTCGGTATAGTCGGGACAGTCACAGCCCTATTTTCAAGTTATGGCCTGCATGCTTCCATGTCCTGATGACCTATGAACCTGAGCCAATGGTACACTGCACTTACCCAATTCTGAGAAATAATGCAACTAATTGCAAGAGCCCTTACATGTACAGTCACATAAACCTGTACTCGTTGAGAATACACACGTGTATGCTGAAAGCTTTGGTATTTAAAACACAACTATAGTTATGGGACACAATTTAGTATCACAATCAGACAACTGTTGCCAACCTGTTGGCAATGGTTGGTGGTCTATCCATGAACAGTTTAGAAAAAAAATCTGAGGAAGGGGCCTACAGATAGAAAGCCTGATGTTTTGAATAGTAAGGTGGGCTACTACGAAATACCTTCTTCCCTGGTTTCCTTGATCATCACTACAAAGCTTTAGTATGGATTATAAAGACCACGGATGCAGGCAGCAAAAGATTGGCAATCCTCTTTGGGCAAGCCCGAGACTGAGGCTCTAGTAATACCATGAAGGTAGGGAACACATTGTAATAACGTCAACAATAACATCAGCATTGATCAATCAAGGAATGGGAATGTGAAAGGCCGGACACCTTGAATTTGGGGCTCAGACAACTCGACCAGTTTTTTTGCCAACTCGACTCGACATCTCAACCTGTCGGACAACTGGACCATCTGTGCGTCAAATGGAAAGACAAGTTTTTTGTTGAGACAAGACGACTAAAAAAAAAATTTGTAGGCAAGCCATTGGGACTAGTGGTACATTCTGCGGAAGTGATGGATTGGGGTGGGGCTCGGTCGAAATTCTATTTTGATAACTTGGTAAACGGTCAAACCACACACAATCATCTGCCCATGGGTGAATATCTCAAATTAAAAAGTGTATTCCACAAATGAAATTCCCAACTTCATTTTCCTGTGTGCTGGTTCAAAACTAGCTGGAGTTACCCAGCCCTGAATTTTATCATTGGGTTGTCATGTATGACAACCCAATGATAAAATTCAGGGCTGGGTAACTCCAGCTAGTTCAAAACCAAAAATAAAGTTGTAAAACAGCCCCAACATGCCCAAACAAAGTTAATATATGAAGGCTACTTTTGTACTATTAACTTCTAGAATTCTATCTAATTCTATGTCATGAAGGCAGTCATCTGGCAGTCTGGGCCCAAATTAAATGGGGCTTCGACACAATGTACATGTAGCTCAACGTACATGTCATACGGTCCACCAAATAAACAGGTCAGGCGAGATTTGCGACAGCAAACATGGCAAAAGACTGCTGAGTGCTCAGCAAAGCGACCTAACGTTACGCGTTAGTACGTTAGTTTCCTTCCTCCAGCTGCAGGCTGGTATACGTATAATAAACACGTAGAATAGTTTAGTACGTAAATGCGCCGATTATTAATGGTGACTCGAGTCGAGGATACTGCCGTTTACCGACGTCAACTTTGCCTGCCGTGTGCACAAATTCAGCATGCATGGCATGCGTTGACGTCGAGGGCAAAAAAAACAACAGCTCTACAATATTTAATTCACGAAGTACTCAAATTCCGTTGTTTTCGAACAATTTATGACAGGCTAGGCGGGCACGTACGTAGATCCGCCCCCTTAGCAGCTGGGCACATATCGTGAACATAGGCCTACAACAAGGCCAAGGGCAGGTGCACTAGTCCGGCGCGGCAGCGCATGCAGCAGTGCAGTGGCATGCATGCAGTACTAACCTCAATAATTTTTTGTTAATGAGTGAGCCCGCCCTCTGTCAGGTTATCTTCTGAGTAAAATCGAGCGAAGGTTTATTTGGACGCTATCCGTGTGACACGGAGGAGGAGGAGATTAATGGGGAGGGGTGCAGTCACGTCACGTCCTGCTAAGGGATCGGGGTGGGGTAGGGCAAGCCTCTGGGAAATTTTGAAATTCAGGTTTTTCTCCGGCATTCTATAAGGCAATTTGAAAATAGATTTAGGAACGTTAGCATATTCCTGCATTTATTATATTTGTCCCCATTTTTGTATCATAACATCAGTCAGCGGCTGAACGGGTTGCCCCCCAGGATCCACCACTCAGCGACGGAGCCATCATCGACCATGAGTTGAAGAGGCTAAACATTGACGATATCGCTGCATGCAAGCATTGCAAGAAACAAGACAGAATTTCTTCAGATGGCACCTACGGCTGGCTGGCAGCGTATCCATAAAAAAACCTCCACAGCACGGCGTCGGATTTGCAGTATGAGAAATTCTTCCCTCCCCTCAATATTACGGACACCAATATGCAGCACTTTTCTTCCACTAGGCGGTCTCCGGCGGAGGGGCTACGGCGGCACGGCGCGCACCTGACTTGGTTAGGTCCCTGGTTCGAATCCTGCTATGTCCATTTTGCCAGCGACCATTTTTTTTTTATTGAAGGGGGAGGAGAACGAAAACGTAAGTGTCTTGCTGTGATTCTGTGAAATGACTGAATTAATGGCTTCAGCCACCTACGCCTTTCGTCAGATGCTGAGTGACGCGCCATGCTCCATTCGTGCAAAATAATGGCGAGGAACGTCACAGGAGGGTGTTAATTAATGCTGGGAATCAGCAGTAGTGTGGCAGTGTGGCAGGTTGACCACAGTTCTTGTTGCTGAATAAAATAAGAGTTTCTCCTGAAGTTGGAAATCCTGTCCCCTTTTCTTGCGTTTTGCTGGATTCGGAGGAAAAGAGCCGATATTGATCTCGCTACAATATTGAACCGCCGACGCAGAGGCAATTAAAGGACGCATATCTGTTCCGCCTTTCAAACTCCTCTTGGCCTCCTGAGCATTTACTCTCCAAGCCTCTGCTCTTCTACATGATCAAGGACCAACTACGAGGATCTGGATTCTGCCATCAGAAGCTTAGAGTACCTGCCACAGAGCACCTGTATACCTAGTACAGGACTTCCGAAAACTCTTAGGTGCAGGGTCTGACCACGACTCTTGACCGACCTGCATCTGAAACTTCGCGAAAATGAAGGAGAATGGCAAAAGCTGCGATAACTCTGTTCGTTCCACAACACGTTCTTCTTCACGAAGCCAGTGTCATACAGAGTTGAGGCATATCCTAGGTCTCGTCACTGGCACCAGCTAGCTGGGCCTTTTTTTTTCATCACAAGAATTACGACCGTCAATGAACTTCGTTCACATCACTCGCAGCTATCACAGCGCTGACTGTTATGCCGACCACTATTTTGGTCGGCATCATCATCATCATTGGTCGACTCGACTGTAGCTTCACTACTTGTGTCGGGCACGATGACGGACAACTTCATCCCATGGTCGGCAGCTTCATCCCAAACGAATCCACCATTCAAAGCAGAATTCAGAAAGGACGTCCACGCATCAAGACAGCCAAAACGTCAGTCTCTGATTTATTTGAGCGCTTTTAGTGATTCAATAGAGCAAGCGCTCATGAATATTCCTCACTGACCCTCAGCCAGTGCTGAAGAGAGAGATTAATCACATTCACGAATCACATTCTACACCGAAGCCATATGGACACGTTTGGTAAGCGGGTCATGGAAGCCGAGCGAGCAGCTCTTGTTAAATACCAGAGGGGACCCATCTGAGAAGATATGCTTACATTACTCAGAAACTATAGGCACGGAGCAATGCTCAACGAACCGCAACTCGGACGCGGTGCCAACAACTGTATACTAGCTAAATGTAATAGCATCCAAGTCTCTACTGACTGTGGCAACATTCGTGGCATGTATACGAAGGCATAAAGAATAATGCCTTTTGGCCCATCACCAGCAAGGTTGTGCCACTCAAGTGGCAATGTCATCACAGACCGATAAAACAGATGGAAAGCCTTTAGATGGGTCGAGCCCTAATTGGGAGCTCTACTCACAGGAGAAAATGACACTGGTGATGCAGGTGCGAGCAGTGCTATAGCGGGAGCGAGAACCTGCCTATTTATAGAAGAGCTTGACGACCCGGACCTGCCTTCCATAGTGGAACCCAGCAAGGCTATCGGCTCCCTTGCTTGTGGCAAATCTCCAGGAAAAGACAGTTTATCCGGCCTGAATTCATCAAGGCTGGTAAGACTATATCGCCCTCGATCCTTTCTCATCTCCATGAGCTTTCATATGCCAGTGTTAGAAAGCCGGAAGGAACAGTGCCCAAGTATTTTAAATGCGCGATGTTGGGCGTAGCCCGGGGTCTCATCCTAGGGAGACAAGTGTGTGTGTGTGTGGGGGGGGGGGCTGGATGTTACAGTGGAGGGGCGCCCAATTTCATCCGTGCTATGGGGGGGGGGGGCTGGACACCATCTTTCCATGGAGGCGCTTTTCAAAACCGATATCACGGTCAATGTCAGACAATATATAGCGCTATTGGCTTTCTAGGGGAAGTTAAAATAAACAGCCACTTGCGAAAAACAGGGTTTGGGTGAAGAACACAAAAATCGTGGAAAAGGGGCATTTTAATGTTCAACCCGCTAATCATGGTAACTCTTTTCTCCGGTATCAATGTCTTATTTCTCCTTATGATGTGTGTATTGCTTTTGTTCAACAGGGATACGTATACACATGAGACCTATTGTGCATTCATTTTTATGAACATAATAAATCAAACATGCAGCAGCTCATGGCGTCTGAGCAATCAGATTGATCTATAATTAACCATACGGTCGCCGCGATTTTTGCGACTGAAAATTAATAAACTGAAACAGTGCCCTCTAAGAGTTTTTCTGACAATAGAGGGCGTGTGTATATTTATTAGCGCAAGTTCTTTATGTCATGTATGTCTAGCTAGCCAGCGATATAGCATGCATGCAGCTAGCACCACAGTAGTCGACTTAATTGCTTGCTATAAAGCTTCATCTGACGTCTGATGAGCTAAGTGCTATAGTGAGTGATAATATAGATCTGTTCCTGGACGATATTGTGAATATTTATTCCTGTGCTCATCCGATTTATTTGTAACGACGCTTTCTCAACATTTCTCATAAAGTCTCATACTAGCTCATCATACGTACGTGTAGGCCGACGTGAGTAACGTCCTCCAGAGTAGACTCTTTGTTTCATTCTTTTCATTCTAATTTCTATTCTTTCAATTCATTTTTTATTGTGACCACTAAATACCACATCTCATGAATGAGGTTTGTGTAGTTGAGGACACCTCCGTTTATCTATTCCTTCCTCCTCCTTTTTCGTCGCTCCCCAAAATCTGCAACCTCATGTAGCCCAGGTTGGACGAAGTCTTCATTGCATTAGGACTAACGTCCAGGATGAGAATTCTCATACATACAGACATAAGACCACCCAAAATTTGGACCAGATTTTTGTTACGTTTTACCTCGTTACAGAAGCTTATTTCACGCCTACATTTTCTATGTGTCCTTACCTATTGGGCCGCTGGGTTCAGGAATTCCATATGTGATGCTGACCGACATTAATCAGGAAAATAAACTCTACAGCAGCGTTAAACTTGTACGTGTTTGTAGTCTCTTTTCATCAGTTTATTCCCAGATTCGTACGTCATGTACAATGTACGTGCGTACGAAAGCGCGCGCACGCACGCTAGCGCTCTCATTTGTTTAGTTTTGGTTGGAACAGTGACGTCACTCTAGCCAACCGACGTCACGAAAACGCTCAACCAATGACCAAAGCCGAAACATGTTTCTGGTAACTGGCGCGAAAACACGCTCGGTCATTGGATTAGCGACCGCGCCTTCAAGTAAGTGCGCGTGCGTATGAGGATGGTTACTAAGCAAATCGCGCGTGCGCACTGCATATTCACGCTGCATAGTCTGGCTCCCAGACCAGACGTGATATGGGCGCCGAGAATAATTGTCAGGTCTAGGGAACAAGACTACACGCTGCACGGCCGTACGTCATGTACGACTAGAATAGACTCGGCGGTGAGAAACTGATGAAAAGAGTCTACAAACACGTTCAAGTTTAACGTTGCTTTAGAGTTTATTTTCCTGATTAAGGTCGGTCAGCATCGCATATGGAATTCCTGAACCCAGCGGCCCAATAGATAAGGACACATAGAATACTACAACGTAAAAATTGGCTTCTCCAACAAGGTAAAAATATTGAAAATATTGGTCATAAATTGTTTCGCCCCGTTTTGAGCACTTCATACCCTGGACTCCCTCCGTTACGTAGGGAGGAAAGGGAGTCCACCTGGGCTACAACCTCATGCAACATTCTATTGAACATATTTTGTAAAATGTAGAACAGTTACTTGGGACTCTTGGGAGAAAATGCAGCTTTCTTACCTGATTTTCCAGTAACGAGCATGCAAATCAACACCATGCTTAAGGTTACAATAAACTGCTGCACCGTCATGACCATGGTCCCTGACTATTTCTGACTATTACTATTACTTGACTGTAACTCTCCCCACGGCTTGAAATTACATAAGAGTCTATAGTAGCAGCTGCATCCACTTCAATTAATAGAGTCGTGAATAATTTTAAGCCTTACATGTAGTTAAGTGATTTGGACACGGCCACATATTTTGATCTTGGAACCAGGGGCATAAAAAAAATCCCTTGTCTAGAGATTTCATTGAAATTTGTGTATCAAGAAGCTTACAATTCTACTTTTCAAAACACACTTCGTCACAAAAAAATAGCATTGGAGACCAATCCAAAAGGTAGGCTTTCATTTGAAGTGATCCGGAACTAGGAAAAACCATGACTCATGCCTAAGTTGTAGTTGTCGCTAATAACGCCCGACCACCTAGCAGGGGCAGCGGAACCGGGGGCAGGGGGGGGGGACACTTGCACCTCCCCCAGATTTACCCAAGGGCCCCTTTTGCGGACATAAATGTTCCCAATCAAGCATAAATGTGCCCCCTTGAGATGAAAACAAAACTGGCCCTAAACGTTTGGGATAATTTGTTTTCAGAAACCATTTCCCAAAATGGTATGAAGAGAGCTGTTATGAACGAGGAATATGAAAACACAGACCCAAATGTAAACTCTAACAATGCGCCCTGAAAACCCCCCCCCCCCCCCCCCCCCCCCCCCCCCCCCCCCCCCCCCCCCCCCCCCCCCCCCACTATTTAATTTTACGGAGGTCAAGTGTCCGGTGAAAAAAAAAACATTTCAACCTTTCAGCACATAGGCCTATGTGCACAAAAAAAATACTGAACAAGTGCCCCTTCTTGGTGATCCCCCCCCCCCCCCCCCCCCCCCAGTTTGAAAACTGTTCTGCCACCGCTGCACCATAGCGTCCTCAAGCACTAAATATCATGTTTACCAATTTGCTTTTACTGGAAAATATCTGATTTCTGACTTCATGAAAATTGTACTTCTTTCGGACTATTTTTTGAGTTTTTGATTTGTCCCGGTATCCCAACAGGACCAGTGTCAACTTCATCTTGCCGCAGGGTCAGCAGCCCCTCTGCATCAGCCATGACAACTCCAAGTACACTGCCGCTGCTGCCACCACTCACCCCCATGGGCGTCTGCAAGGGTGCGGTTTGCATAACAGCCATGGCGTTGACAGCCACCGTGGGCTCGGTCTTCATGATGGGGCCCATTCTACCCCTCATGGTCATCCGGCCACGGCTGTTCCGCTGGGTCACAGACTGGATGATGAACCTGTGGCTGCTGCTGCCGGTGGTAAGTTTACTGGTTTATGAGCATGCTGGTACTTATAATATTCGTGGACCTCCTAATTGCAAAGAATTCAATTTGCTAATCACAGGAAATGTGTCTGAATCAGTTAGGTCAGAATCAACAACTAATAAGTATTAAGTTATGTTAAAATTATTATTATTAAAGGTACAGTCCATCAATTGTAATTTGTGCATTTTGTTCGTTTGAAGCAACAAACGTGCTCAAAATCTAAAGAAGAGTGCTGAACAACTAACCTGATTAAGTTTCAGCTCAGCTTCAGCTGTATATTCCGAGGAAAACAGCATTCTAGGATCTCGATTTCAAATCAAAAGTTGCTGAAGCACGTCTTGAATTGGGCCTGAATTCAGCATCCGAGACACGTTCTCACTGAGCCGATTGCAGATACTCGATGTCGGGCACCGATCCGACGAATTATAGCAACCGCGCTCGCGTGTGCATCGTGTCAACGCTTGCGCCCGCTTCGCCGAATTAAAAAAAACCGAACTACTAACGGAAATTTCCAATGATGCGTCTTTAGACGCACCGTTGGAAAGGCCTTCTTTTAATGATTTCTTCAAAATGACAGCTTGCCAGAAAGAATAATTTCACAGGGAGTTTAGTCCCCTCACTATCTTTCAACCAAGTATGTTTTTCAACAATAATTACGTCAGTTACCTTCGGATAGCTGCAAATGATGGACTATAGCTTTAATCATCCTGCTATCTAAACAGTGACAGACAGTCAATCCTCTTCCCCTGCAATGCGTTTTACACAGGCTAGTCACCAACAGTCAGATTGTATTTCAAGCAAGCACTGTGACTAGTCAAATTCAGTCAACAGACAAAAGCAGGAAAGTGGTTGGCACAGCCAGCTTATCAATCACCTACAGTCAAAGCATAGCTGTATACATATCAAGTTATAAACAGTCACAAGCCAGTCAGTCCTACTTTATGTAGGCTGGGAGCTCTTAACTGTTGAGAACAGTTTACTTGATTGATTTTGACTGAAGGAAGGCACAGAATGTGTGTTTGCATAGGAGGGTTAATGTAATTTTTTGAAGAAAAAGGGGGAAAAGGAAAAAAAAAAAAAACCTTTTTCAGGTAATAAGAAAATAAATGCCGGAGTATTTTGATACACCACAATTTTCCAGCATACATAAATTTGGTGAAAATGCAGATGTACATCCCATTGGCAAACTTTGACTGTAAGGATACAGTCTAATAAATCCATAACACATTAATAATCAGCCCAGAAAACAAAGTGAGAGATCATGTCGGACAGATTTTCATCTCTTGTACGTGTATAATGAAGTCTTTCAAGTACTTTCTTAAACTAGTGAGAGTTTGCGGTCACACCATTGGAAGAATCTCTTTTGAGAAGATGTGTAGTTCTGAAAAGAACCGGTTGGCCATTAAACTCAACGTCCCGATCAATATGCTCTGATTGTCTTCTCCTGATTGAAGACAATGAGAGCAAAAAGAGATTCCTCCGGATGGTGTTACCCCAAACCCTGACCAGTTTATACTACCGCCATGCAAAGTAACAAATCTTATTCGAATACTTTCTCCTTTTTTTCTTCTTCATGTCTCCTAACTGGATCGTGTTCTATCAGGCACTTATGGGTAAGTTGGTTGAGATTTTTTATTATCCCAAATAGGGATTACAGTGAACAAGCACTCAAGGAATTTCTTTGTCATTGATTATCGTAGATATTTTTTCTTTTCCTACAAATCTATTATAATTAAGCCCTGATTAGACATTTAAACCACAATTATTCATTGTAACATGGACTTTTTGCGTCAGGGTGATATCAATCAAATTAGGTTTTTGCCCTTCATCGACGTTTAAACACTGTATACTCAGTGTGTTACCTCCCGAGTAAAAAAACAATTATTCATGTTAGGCTCCCCCCCAAAAAAGTTCTGCTTCCGATTACATGGCATAAGAAAATAAAGTAGATAGGTACGGACTTTTTTTTTTTTTTTTTTTTTTTGCCAATTTTTTTTGTGTACGATCATATGGAAGCGTCTGCATGAAGTGAAGGGTAAAAGGTAGAAATTGATAGTTTTGGGTGTTTTTCTCATTTTTTCCATAAAAAAATTAGGGTAGGAGTTGTCAGAATAGGGTAGGTAGGGAAACCGGAAGCAGAACTATCATTTTTTTGGCCTTTACTATGCACATGTTTCATTGACTCCATCAGTGATCACTATTAGTGGTTATGAAATCACCTCACACATAAATGTCAACCTGAATCGCGTTGACCTCAAAGTTATGTGTATACACGAGTAAAGGTAATGGACACAGGACACTATTTGAAAACATTCAAAAAGGAAAATGCCAAAATATTAGGAAATATCCTACTTGATTACAGCAAATAATGTCCTGTGAAATCATTGTGCATGCATGTAGTACCCGTGTGCCATCATTTTCAAGAAAAAGAGGAATTACGATGCACTTCATTTTCCTCTTGAAACCCTCGTGTTAAACAGTCCCCAATTGACCAAATTTAGTTTAGTTTGCAATCCGTTTCATATCCGTGAATGAGAATTACTTTCCCCGAGTGACAGACTCGGGATCACACCACAAGAGGGTGCAAGTCAAAATGTATTAACCCTAACCCCCTAGGCCCTCTGGCTGGGATTCAGCCTCAATCCTCGAAAATCATCCGTTATTTCTTGAATTTAGTCTGTGGAGGGTGACCACTGCCTCAATCCTCCAAAATCCTCTGCCAATTACTGCTATAGTTTGAGGCAGTGCGAATGGCATTTAGAAGCAGTGCGGATGAAATACGAGAAAAACACAGTGCTGATTTATGCATGGCTGAACATAACCAATGCAGGATATGGCCTACTGGCTTGACGTAATGCATCCTCCACAAAAAAGCGATACATCTTTGCCATTCATCCTCGATCCTATAAAGTCATCGAAAAACGGCAGGAGGATTTTGGAGGATTGAGGAGGGTTAGGGTTTATAATGAGCATTTTGGAAGGGAGGGCTTTCAACGGAAACTATGCTTGCATCAAGAAAAACGAAGATGCATTTATTTCTACGGATTTTGTTTTTCTACTGATTTGAAATTTTGAGGGGTTAGTTTTCATTCATTGCATAGCCTGTTTCATATTTGTTGAATTGTTCCTTAAAAATTAAAAAGCACTTTTGCTAATGGTGTCCTTTACCTGTAAGCTCAACCCATTGATTGACTCTTCTCAAAAGCATACCTGCATGGCTTCCTATGCATTCTATACATGTAAAGGCATGCTTTTCCTGAACAACTGTCACAAGTTGTAGTTGACTACGATAGGTTGGACATGAGGTAGAAGACAAAGAAAGAACCACTGCGCCAACCTGACACATACATAAAGACTGTCAATGTAAGGGCTTACATAACATGTATGCCAAGTCATTCTCATTTTCAGAATGCTGGATCTGTTTTTTCCTTTTGATAAAAGAGTTATTCATGGGGGTTACAATCATGACCTCCGGCGACACGCTGCAGTCAGACGAGGGCAGCATAATCCTGATGAATCACCGCACGCGGCTAGACTGGTTCTTCTTCTGGGCGGTGCTCCATCGTCAGAGCACGCTGCGGACAGAGAAGATCATTCTAAAGAATGACCCCAAGGTCGTCCCTGGCTTTGGTAAGTCAGACTGAATGTTTTAATGTTTCAAAATCAAATTTAATACAAATATCTTAATTAATTTGGGTTTTTTTTATGTTTTTAATCCAACCATTTTAGATGTTTTGGTTGCAAATAATAATAATAATAATAATAATATAATAATAATTACCTTGGATTGGACATTTGGGAGACATTCCCATAGACTTGTGCACACAATTTTTCAAACTTATGTGCCCTAACCCAATATTCCCATGACCTTTTTCCACAAATTTTGGTATGTTTACTAATTAGACCATGAGCAATAAGTATTTAACCTACCGGTAATTGTGACAGAAAAGTTTTGCCTCTAAAGGGGGCTGTGACATTAGGGAGACATGAAAAAGGTCTCCCCAGGTAATGACTGATGTCTGCCACCGTTCAAAGAAATAACGATAACATGTCTCCTTAATGGTACATTTAGTGGAATAAGACCGAGTCTTTTTCAAAAGATAATAACATTCAGCAACCAAGAAGTGTATGATCCAATAAATCATGCAGGCTGTTCTATAAATTCAGGGTCCAAAGTGTGACATTTTTCCTTTCCCTGTTAATTAAAACTTTGTAATTTGCCATTCGAGTAAAATTGATAATGACTTCAGACTATTTTTTTTGGGGGTAGGTAATTTGCTATTCATCATCATTCTTGGAGGATTAACCCTAATCCCCTAGGGTATTTTGGCTAGGGACCTTGCTGAACGCAGCAACATGCAACACTTGTCTAAATCACAAGCCTGATCATAGATCAGTGCAGGATCTTGCTACAATCACACGGCAACACTGCCCCAGAGTCTGTTGTCACCAGATGCAGCAGATGGCATTGTTCCAATGGGACTAGCTCTCATTGTTTCAGAATAGGCTGTTTTGTGTTGATGGCTCAGAGGATAATAGTACAAGAAAAAGGCAAAACTAAAAATAACCAGCAGCCTGTACGAGATCGTCTGTCATGTACATGTATGTCATGTCTGTGCTGTTCCGTTAGCCGACCTCAGCGTCTCGAAAGTCCACCTCGTTCCAATGGTAGATAACTGGGGAGATCGCGTGAGTGACCCTTTGAGCATATGGGAACGAGGTTGGGTTTAGCAAAAACATTGAAGCAGACTTAATTAGCCAGTTCGGTATTCCAAAATAGTCTGGTGCACAGTAAGATTCGACAATTTTTTTTTCGGGATAACTGCAGCAGATAAATGCACACTACAGTCCTTCTGATTTGAGGCATGCGATCACACCCCCACACCATCGCACACCTAAAAGCTTCCCGAGAAGTGTGAATAATTGCACGCCTGAATTTCCCTGGACCACAGATCACACACCTAGAAAACCACACACCTAGAAAAAACACACACCTAGAAAAATCCAGGTGTGCCTTTTTCCACACGCCTGTGATTTTCAAATCAGTAGGACTGCACTAGGCTATGAGTGGCGTGGTATAAACCAAATCTGCATTCTGTGCAATTTTTTGTGCAACCGAAAAGAGATGGAACTTTCGTTTGCATAAAAGTTTTGAAACACAATACACCTAAAAACACTTTAAAAATCCTGTCCAAAGGCTTATTGCAAAATGTTATACTTAAGAACATGATGATCTCTTGAATTTTGCTGGTACCCCACTATGCTTTTGCACGTATACGATGACATATTTATCCCGAAGGAAAAATTGGCAAATCTTGATGTGCACATGCACAGTTGGAATACCGAACTCACTCATTACAAGTCGGAAAGGTCAGATTTTTTTTGTTTCGGTCAAACACGCGCAGGCACACATACTGGAATTTGTATCCTTGTGGAGACATTTCTTTGTTCTCATGTTGAAAAGTTTTCGAGTTTGAAAGTGTAGTTTCAAAATGTTCTTATTTTAACTAGAATTAATTTCCTTGGCTGAATTTCGGAACTAACATCCCTTTTCTAAAACTCTTCCATTTGTGACACATCAACATACCTTGGAAATTCCTAGTTTTTGAGTAAAGTCCATATATCTATTTCTTGATAACCTTGTAGAGACGTATTCATCTATAGAAATTGCCCTGTGGAGACGTATATTTGTTCCCTATTGTGTGCATGTCTCCAGAGGGCACAGTGTATCAGATCAGGGCAGTACAACACGGTTTGGTACATCATTGGTGCTCACTCAGCGGTGAAACCAGGCTTGAATTGAATTGAGAACGAGTCTTGTAATATGCTCAATAATTTCTGAAAAATCAATGTAAAGGTTATTGCTGAATGAGCGCGACAAACATAATCTTGCTAAATATTTTGTAAAGAACTGACATGAAAGGTCAGGTTGACATAAGGTAAACAAACTAAAAATGCTGCATTTTTCCCCTCTTGCAGGCTGGGCCATGCAAGTAGCCTGTTACATCTTCCTTAAGCGACGATGGGAAACGGACAAGCCATGGCTGCTGTCAATGCTGGAATACTTTGGATTGCTACAATACAAGGGCCAATTCTTGATCTTTCCTGAAGGTATGCCTGTGATGTTCGATATGAAAATGCTTGATCCATTTCCCGGATTGTAAGGGAAATCTTTCATGTTTTATGGTAGCAGACCAGTAAATAAACTTCCATAGACCCCAATGGTAAATGCTCCCACTTCAAAAATTCGGGAAAAATACTCACAACTCTCCAAGGTGTTCGAGACACACATCAAATTAAAGCTTATTTCATCATCTTTTATTTTCTTTTCAAATTTCGGGGGCTCAACTGATGACTTTTAGGAGAAATGTCCATCTGAAGATGATCACCCCTGAAAATAGTCCTGAAGCCCATCGCCATTTTGAAAAACGATGCTTACACTCCATTGCAAAATAGAGCGCTTTTAGGGTCGATATTACATCCAAATTACACAGAACTGCAAGCTCCCAGTCCTGTGCACGGCTTCCACCCATATTTTTTACAAACCCTCAAGTTCATGGCCCACAGCATGCCCAAATACTGAAGATTTTGAGGGCATGCAAATCGTGATTTGGCCGGCGTAGGCAATTTCGGACCGATTTACTGGTCTGCACCCTTATACCCAACCACCCAGGCCCTCTATGCTAAGAACCATCGGCACATAGTTCATGAAATTATTTGTCCACTGTTAGACTATTGGCTTCGTGCGCTAACACGAGAGGGCATTTTGTATTCCACTTTTGAGAGCCCCTTGAACGGGACACACGTACAGCACGGAGTCACACCACTAATTTTATTCTAAATGTGCGCATCGCCATAGCGTCTTTGCGTGAGCATTAGGCGTTGTCGCCAAACTCTCTACTTCTTGCCGGTGAGTTGGTACTTGTGCATGGAGCCCATACTTGATTGATTACAGTATTCAGAAAATGTAATATTTGTGGTGTTATAATATTATTACCTGATCATTAATTTTGCAATCGTAAGGTAAAGGTAAAACGGGGGACGAACCTGTGTTCACAGGAACGGAGTGTCCATCTCTCATTCATTAGCGATTGGGCCAGACTAATATGCTGCTGTGGGGGGATCGCCACACCTGCCCCACAGCGCGTCTGTTACCTTCCCAGCATTGAATAATGCCGGTACCCATTTAACACCTGGGTTGAGAGGAGTACATGTAATTGAGGTAAAGCGCCTTACTCAAGGGCACAACACACATGGCCACGGTGGGGCTCGAACCCACAACCTCACGATCATGAATCCTGTGCTCCACCGCTAGACCACACGTGCCCTAATGCCCACAGTAGACTTTTAAACTTTCAGTTATGCAGTATTAAGGAAACTGCACTGTACTAGCACTAACTGTGGCATGCTCTTCTGATGTCATTTCATTTTAATGCCATTTGATGTACGTACAGGAAATGGTGACAGGAAAGTCAGTCAGTAATGCACAAAGCACATATACTGAAATTTGTATCCTTGTGGAGACATCTCTTTGTTCTCGTGTACTAAAGTTTTCGAGTTTGAAAGTACAGTTTCAAAATGCTCTTATTGTAACCAGAATTAATTTCCTTGGCTGAAATTCGGACCTAACATCCCTTTTCTTAAACTCTACCATTTGCGACGGATCAAGATACCTTTGGAATTCCTAGTTTTTTAGTAAAATCCATTTATCTAATTCGTGAAAACCTTGTGGAGACGTATTCATATATAGAAATTGCCCTGTGGAGACGTATACAATCTTTTGTTCCCTATTGTGTGCATTGTCTCCAGAGGGCACGGTGTATCAGATCCATGTACTGGTACACACATACCCAATTTATGCAGCACCTCAAACTTTGTGCTAAGAGAGGATGTACATGTATGTACATGGTGTGAATGTCAATGATGATTAGATCATTGTGTGGTAGGATTGTCTTGTGAAATCTACAAGAAATTAGCAAAGAATCCATTAAGACAGTTGTGTGTTGAGTACTGGATGCATTGTTGTTTTTTTATCTGCCCAAAGATATAGGTGTAGCAACTCTGAATAGAGAGAAGTAATATGAGGAACCCTTGCAATACATTGTGTACATGTACATGAAAAACAATCTTCAAAACTGTGACTCGGGGTTTCCTGAAACATGATAGTTGATATCTCTGTTTATACATTGATTCATTCTGAAAGTAAGACTAAATAAAACTGAAAGTATTTGTTGACAAACCCTTAGCCCTGTACGCATGTACATGTACATGTACATGTACATACTGTGTGAGAACAACAAGCAGTTGAGAAAATGATATTAAAGCAGTAGATGTTTGCTGCAGTTGATATAGATAGATCACATGCAGGTTACTTATGTCAAGTGGTTTGGTTTTTGTGTATCCGTGCCCAGCTTTGTGTATTCCTACTGCAGAAATTTTCTTTGACAAGACTTAAAGGGAATGTACATCATTGTTTTTGGCTGTAATTTTCAGAAATGAACTATTTGAGTGGATTTATATAATAGATCAAATATTGTTACACTGACATGTTGAAAGTTGTGTGTTCGAAAATGCTGGAAAAACCAAGAAAAAACAAAAATGTTCAAGTAGTCTGGTTCCCTGACTCCACTAAAGATAAAATGGATCAATTTATAGATGCCGGAAAATTGTAAGGTAAGGGAACCAGTCTAGCTGGCCTCCACCTGTTCGTGAACATGTAACCAATAGCAAACAAAATTTGGACTGAAAAAAAAATGGTAAATTTGGAGCAGTAGTGGAAAGATAGTCAGGTTTTTCCAACGGTGGTCGTCCGACCACCGTTGGAAATGTATACAAAAATATCAATTTTTTTGAAAATGACTTCACACCAGGTGCCATAATTTTACAGGATGCTTTAGACTGTCATTTACCAACATCCTAGTAAGGTATTTCGTAAAAACTTAATAGTTTTATTTTTCGATGTTTGCAAATGTTGTATATTCCCTTTAAGTTGCATTTCTTTTTATTGAAACGTTGTATTTAGAAAAGAAATTATTGTCGCTTATGCAATAAAACTGAGAGAAAAACACCTGTTTTTTCAGAGGCAAGATTCACTTTTCCTGCCTTTCCTTATGATATGGGCACTGACCAATTAGATCATGACTTTTGATACGGAACCAAATAGCTCAGTCAAACTTAATCACACGCGCTGTGAGAATGTACACAAACCAAGGACGGGCACAGCTAAATCAGAAGAAAAAAAATGTCTTTAAACCCCTTGCCAAAACCAAGCTGTTCCTATGGGCTCCGTGCGCCAACAAAAGAGGGTGCGTTTTTACCTCTTTTGAGAGCTCTGCGGACGGGACACACAGCGTGCGCGTACTGCACTGTACTGGCAAATGTCAAAAGTTATAGCCACCGCATCTTCGCGTGAGCATCAGGCATCGTCCGCACGCGAATACGTTCGAATACAACTTGCGATGTTCTCCGAGACTAATCCCCGTCTCCAATAACTTTGGATACATTGGAAATACGCAGTGGATGGATCAGGAACCAGTCTCGGTCACCCCCAACTCTCCTTTTCTGGCCGTTGATGGGGTACTTGTGCACGGATTCCATAATTGATAAACTGCAATCTACTAAAACTGTTTACAGTGTAACAAAATAAAACAAGATTTGTCACAATGTTTGTCTTTAATCAAAATTAATTTAAGATTAAGCAGCACTCTCAAAATTGGTCCCTGTTTTGTTGTGCCAGCTGTTTAATAAATCCAAGAGTCCATAACATTGTGTTTTCAATCGCAGGCACAAACTTTGACGGCAAGGGCAAAGCTAGTAGTGACAGATTCGCCCAGAAGAACAGCCTCCCCGAGTACAAATATTGCATGCATCCCCGCACCACAGGGCTGGTATTCCTGACACAGGAACTAAGACAAAGTAAGTCTCATAATTAGAAGCCATTTGTTAAGGGCCCGTCTTAATTCATATCCGAGACGAGTTCTGGACAAGTTGCAGGTAAAATCATTCACTTTGTCCGGATGAAGCTCTGCATTTGTCCCGGACATGTTCCAAGGGAAATTTTCATTAGCAACTGCTTGACTCACCAATGCTGATGACTTCATTGCGGGAAGATTGTGGGGAAGTTGCTCAGAATCCTGCAACTTATACCAGAAACAATGTCCGCAACTTGTCCGGAATTCGTCCCAGGTATGAATTGAGTTGGGCCCTTATTTACCGGCATGTTCACTGTATGCAGTAAAAAGCCTGGTTGGCATTGGCATGTCTACTTAACAGGTTCATCATAAGACGTGTTGGTTGCATGAGCCTATTTTAGCATAGAACATCTTTAGTGTTCTTTCTGTACACCTTCTCGCAAAAAGTCATAACTCCTTTGTTTCCCCACTCTCTCGCTGAGCAGAGAACCTCCTGGATACCGTGTACGACGTGACGGTCACCTACCCAGACAGTATTCCCGAGCATGGCGAGCTGGACTTGGTACTTGGGAACCTACCCTCAAGGGTCAATTTCCACATCCGACGGCTCCCCCAGGCCAGTCTTCCCGCCAGCAAAGAGGGCCTAGAGGCCTGGTGTCTAGAACGCTGGCAGGCGAAGGAGGCAGCCCTAGGGGCCTTCTACACTGGCAGCAAAGACTATCTCGTCTTTCCGGGGGGCGAGGGGGACGGAAGCGAGATGCACACGCAAGGGTCCGACAGGGGGACGTTGTACATCGTCCTGCTGTACTGGATTGCCTTTCTTGTAGCTGCGTTTACTCTTCTCTGGTACTCCATCATAGCCAGGTGGTACTTCTTGCTGATCACTGCCTTCTTTATATATCAATTGGTGGTCAGAGGAGGGGTAGAGACTAGCATCATCAAATCATGTCGGTGGTTTTATGTGCAAAAGGACAGACGATCGTAGCTGCTGTGAGAGGTTTGTGTAATGCAATTTTGTGACAAGGTTTGGTTTATTTGCTAATAATGGTTTAGTTCCCCGAGTCTGTGCCATCAATACATTGGAAACAGCATTACGTGTGCTCGTCTTTGTTTTTTTTACCAGACTAATGTAAGGGGTCGAAAATAGTGCATTAGTAGTCAAAGATATGTATATGCTTCTTTCTTGAATCCTGTCAACAGGTGAAAAAAAATCCCTCATGGGAGGTGGGGTTTTTTTGGGGGGGAGGGGGAGATTTGAATGCTGAAATTGTACTCTTTCCAAACCTATTCACATTGCTTTTATATAACCACGATACACAAGAACATAACTAGAATAAGGCCCCAAAAAAAATAAGTCAGTCTCTGGTCAGCGCACGTGTCGATTTTAATCATCCGCGTCAATTTTTTTTTTTCCAAAATGTTCCGCGGTAGCTCCAACAGCGCCCTCTATTGCCGCACCTCCTCAATTTTTTTTTTACCAAAGAGCACCAAGGAATGGGAAATTGCACCAAGGCAAATGATCAAGAGCACCAAGGCAAATTATGGAGGACACCAATGTACATGAGGACACCAAAAAAGCAAAATAGTACCCCACCTTGTCTGTACAATCCAAGCTTGAAAAAAAAAAAAAGCCGCGTCGCCGCATCAATTCCGGAACTTTTGTCTGACCAGAGACCGAATATTTTTTTTTTTGGCCTAACCTGACAATGGTAAAAACAAATTACTAAAACAACAGTTTCATGACCATATTGCTCTGTACTGTTGAATCATACTCGGTTAAACAATGGACTGGTTTCAAAGACTGTATCTGTAGTGTGAGTAATGCAGCTGTAGGTGTAATAGTAACAGTACTTAAATTTGTGTATACCTGTAACAGCAGATGTGGGCTATAGACCTTGCTTTTGTTTGCAAACAGTAAGCACCATTTTGTATGGGCTGCTACAAGGGCATTTTTATGCCATGGGCTGCAACAGATTTTGCAAAAAGTGTGCATATTGACACCAGCATTTTATTATTAAAGGGAAGATACAACATTTGCAAACATCACAAAACGAAATGATCAAATTATCACCAAATACCTTACTGGTGTGCTGACATTTTCAAGAAAAATTGTATTTTTCCAATGCTGGTCGGCCAACCAGCATTGGAGAAAACTTGCTTTTTTTTTTACAAAACTCCTAATTTTTCATATTTAGTTATTCCGCATTTTCTTTGGAATTGATTACACACCTGTGAAGAGGTACAAGCCTGCTAGACTGATTCTCTGACCGTACAATTCCCCAAAGTCTATAAATTGCTCCGTTTCATCTGAAGTGGGGTCAGTGAACCAGACTGCAAGAACTCTAAATCCATTTATTTCTGAAAATTGCAGCAAAATCATATGTTGTACATTCCTTTCAAGTTAAGTCTTTGGTAGAATTTGTTGGTTGTTTTGTATTTTCAACAATCCAATTTTTGCCAAGTGCCAACCACTGGCTTGCAAAGAAAGCTTAAGGTCTATAGTTTATATAAGAATAATAATAATTTGGGAGGCTAAATCATCCTTACTCGCAGCTGGTATGCTGAATTGCAAAGGACGCGGCTACAACGTGGTCGGGCCGCTGGCACGTAAAGGCGCCTATGGCTGCCGGCCACATCAACCCATATATGACCACGGAGCACAGGCTGAGATCGAAAGTGTTTGATTTTTCCGGAGGGAGGAAAACCGGAGGGCCCGGAGAAAAACCCTCGTGGCACAGGAGAGAACCGACGCACAACTCTACTCACATGTGATCCGCGGCCAGGATTCGAACCGTGGTCACCTTGGTGAGAGGCGAGCGCTTTACGCACAAGCCACCCATGCCACATATGTGATACCCTAATTGCAAATGCAACTCAATTTAGTCTAAGGAGAACAGAAACCCCATGTTTATAAAACCAAAGAAGGAAAGGATGGCTAAATAACGTGCTGCGATTAAAATGTTACATATTTAAATGATGGATTGGCTGAACCGCTGAACCTTTAGTATGACAATGGATTTCTAAGTTGTATTTATTGCCTTTTGCAGCTAGATGGGAAGATTGCTTTGATGGAATAGGTTGTGCAGAGTTATGGGACAGTTTGCTCAGCAAATGAAGATTTCATGTTGCCAAAACTGTCCAACAATAAGCCAGTTCAGTATCTCAATGAATCAATCCAGGTCAAAGGTCATTCGGGGAAAAAAAAAATCGCTGACGTGATGATACGCGATGTTACGCAGATGCCCATTCCGGTTGTAATTAGCGCAAGAGCGTCATGCGCCGGTGCGTCGTGCGCCCGTGCGCGCGTTCATATGCCTTCCATTATCCCGAATGACCCGTGACCCACATCATTGTGCGCATGCATAGTTGAAATACCAAACTGGCTTACTCAGTGCAAGGTATGTGTATAGTGCACATTTCCGGTCTGACAGCCACCCGTAAACATGGTAAATCGGTCTGTGTGGTTCATATTTGCGAAACCAATTGCAATTTTGGAAACCATACATATGTATTTTATTTATTGCAAGTTGCCAAAAGCAAATTTATTCTACCCACATTAGGCCATTAGGCCAAAAAAAAAAAGTCTCCGGTTTCTGGTATGCGCGCGGCGTCGCCGTAGCCATGCGCGCGCGTCGCCGTAGCCATGCGCGCGGCAAAATTTTAAAAAAAAATTTCAATGAAAGATGATGTCTCAAAACTGCCAAGCTCACTGGTTTGACTGGAATCCTGCTGCTGCACAATTTTAACGTGTTTTTAGATTGGGTTATGGTCGAGAATAAGCTTTATGTGGCCTCTCTGGACTCCCATATATTTGCACTGAGTTTAGTCGGGCACCATTTGCAGTCATCAACCGACATTTGAAGCAAAAAAATCAGGTTAAAAAAAAAAAAAAGCTGCGTCGTCGCACCACTTTTTGGGCAAGCTCCATACCAGAAACCGAGCCTTTTTTTATTTTTGGCCTTAAGAGGGTCTAAACTTTTGAAAGAACTGTTTGTACAAAATTCTGCTAACCAGGTTTGGAAACAAAAATGCCGAATACCAGTATTAAATACATACCGTCGTTACCTGTAGATGCATTGTACATAGAGGACACATGTATACATTCCAAGGGATAACAATGTACTTACTAATGTAGTATTCACCATAGTGTTAATAGTAACAAGTGTAATGTTTAATTTGAAGATGCAACACATTTTGTCTGAATCCGATTTGATTGAGACATGATGTTTATTGTGCATTTAACTTGTTCTGAAATTTGAAATGAAAACTAGTATTAAACCGCAATGGTATGTGTGCCATGGGGTAACTGTAAGTGAAACTTTGTTGATTCATGGATATGGGTAAAATAGAACATCTGCCTGTTGTGCAACAAACAAACAACTCAAAACCAGACTAAGTATATGTAAAAAGAAAGCACAAGTAATTTTTTTAGAAAATAGAATTATTCCGAGTTCTCTAAAACCAGTGAAGCATGTTAAGTTCTCAATTTTTGTCATGAAATGGCATGTGGATATTGTTTTGTTTTTCTTTTTTGCTTATTTATTTTAAGATAACATTGAATATGTCCAGTGATTAATAAAAAGTTAATCAGAGGAGCCAAACACAGATTTGCAGCTTTGTTTATGATTTAAGATGTCAGCAATAGTAATTAACGATCTCAGGAAGCGGCCTGCGTTGCCATTGTAATATTTCTGGCTGCTTACGTTTGGAAATATTGAATTGTTTATATTGAATAATTGAACCACATGTACTGCAGAATATTAAGTTTGCCAATAAAAAATATGAATGTCCCTTTGCTGTTTCCCACATGAATAAAGATATTCGCAGCTCAAATCTGATAAAAAAAATTATAAATTTAAGAAGAATACATATGTCATTGTACTTTATGGTGAGACAAGTTGTTGCGACTGTATGAAAGTTGGGATTTGTATTTCATCCATAATGATATTCTTTAAAGTGTTGTTTTCAAGTTGCCCTCATGTGGGATCTCACAAACAACAATGATGTAAAATTTAATGAAATTGTGTATAAACTGTGAACATGTATAATGTGTAACTCTAATTGCTGCTTGTATAAGAGATAAGTATTCGAATAAAACATTTAATTCTGAGTGTATGTTAATATTATGATATTCGTTGAAACTGCCTCGAGTCTGTCGGTGAGTTGTGCATCCTGATACAGCATATAATAAATTAAAGCCTAAACAGTGTTAATAATCGTCGGATTTAAACGGTGCCCCAATTGAAAGTATGGTGCGAGCCAGCCCCCCCCCCCCCCCCCCCCAGTGGCGTAGCCAGGAATTTTTCAGTGGGGGGGGGGGGGGGGCTGGAACATTTCATTGGGGGCTTCATGTAGATCAATGATAATTTTTTTAGAAACTCAAAATCTCAGTGGGGGGCGACGGGGGGGGGGGGGGGGGGCCACAAGGTTTCATGGGGGGGGCTGTCGCCCCCCACGCCCCCCCCCCCCCCCCCCCCCCCCCGTGGCTACGCCACTTCCCCCCCCCCCCCCTTCCCCAGCCCACGGATTTTCGGAGGCCAAAATGTCCGGAGAAAAAAAACACTGACTGTCTACATTTCAGATTTTTGTTGCTGATGAACTCTCCCCGCCCCCCCCCCCCCGCGACAATTCCTGCTTCCGCCCCTGTCGCCTGTCATCGGACATTTTTCAAGGTGACAAAATGCCACTGTCTTTATAAACGGATAAATGCCCTGAGGTTGGTAAAATAGGCGCTAAGAATGTCGGTAAAAGAAAACAAATATCCAGCACGGCGGCACTGAACTATTTTTCAGAGATCAGCGAAATACTGCATCGTCACACACACATTTCATAAAGTATGACCCTTTTTTAAGTTGGTATATGGCCTACGTGCTAAATGCTCACTATTCAGAACGAATTAGGAGCGTTCCGCTCTTAATTCAAAATCTAAAATTAATCGATTTGAGGCCATAACTTTGGCTTCAAATAATTTATCCCAGCTGGACACTGAGGCTGGTCAGGTAGGGGTCAAAAGGTGGCCCTCCAGGTTTGACCGCTAGACAAAATGTTTTATTACCTTGGCTTGTCAAACTGAAGGGCGGTTTGACTATATATACCCTGGTTTTACGAGCAAAGTTCATGATTGATGAGCAGCCAAAGGGTGAAGTTATACCCAATTTATTTCGTTAGCATAGAAATTCTAAAAATTTTATTTTCCGGCTTTCATGAGCTTAGTTCTGCGTTCGTGATTTTTAATTATGCCTCGCACTATGTCCAAACGACAAGCTGCCTCTGGGCCGGCGGATGGAGCGAAACGGTCTCGGGGACGGCCCCGATCGTCCTCCCAACCTACACGCCGGTCGC